TTCCCTTCCTCTCCCTCCCCTCCTCTCCCTTCTCCTATCCCTCCCCTCTTCTTCCTCCGTCTCCCCTCCTCTCTCTCTCTCTCTCCCATCCCCTCCCCGTCCCCGTCCCTCCTCTCCCTTCTCCCATCCCTCCCCGTCCCATCCCCTCCTCTCCCTCCTCTCCCTCCCCTCCTCTCCCTCCGTCTCTCCCTTCCCCTCCCCTCCTCTCTCTCTCTCTCTCCCATCCCCTCCCCTCCTCTCTCTCCCCGTCCCTTCCCCTCCTCTCCTTCCCCCTCCCCTCCCCTCCTCTCTCCCTCCCCTCCCCTCCTCTCTCTCCCCGTCCCTTCCCCTCCTCTCCTTCCCCCTCCCCTCCCCTCCTCTCCCTTCTCCCATCCCCCCCCCCCCTTGCTAGGGATTAGAGTCCCCGGCGGCCGTCCTGCTAACTGGTCCGGAGTCTCAGCGCTGACATTCCTGAGGTCTCCTTTTGTTGGTCCGCGGCCGCCACTCGGTCTTAGACCTACTGTGTGTAAGCGCCTTTGGTGCACACGCCCGCCGGTCGACATGGCAGGGCTGAGGATGTACGTTTCGGTGTGTGTGATTGTGTGTGTATGTGGTTGTGTGTGTGCGTGTGTGTGTGTGGAATTACATGGAGCTCGTGCTAAGCTGTGGTGGCATTGGCAGGTGCGTGCGCATACACAGACTTACGCACGCACTCATCTCTCTCTCTCTCTCTCTCTCACACACACACACACACACACACACACACACACACACACACACACACACACACACACACACACACACACACACACACACACACTCACACTCACACACACACTCACACATATACATCCGCTGACGCACATACACATGACCCAGCTAAGGTTACAAGGAAAAATTATGCCTATATCTAACACTAATGTCCTCTCCCTCCTCTTCTCCCTCCCTCCCTCCCCCCCCCCTTCTCTGTCTCTCTCTCTCTCTCTTTCTCTCCCTTTCTCTCTCTTCCTCCGCCTTATTCTTCTATCCACCTCACCTCCCTTCACCCTTTTTTTTCTCTCTCTCCCTCCTCTCCCCCTCTCCCTTCCCTCTCCCCTTCCCCCCTCCCTCCCCTCTCCCTCTCCTCTCCCTTACCCTTCCAATCTTACCTGTCTCTCTCGTCTCAAGAAAAGTAAAAAGGGTTAGGAGACAGGGTGAGGGGAGAAGGGGGGAGGGAGAGGAGGGGAGAGGGTGAGGGGAGAGGAGGGGAGAGGAGGCGGGGGTGAAGGGAGACAGATGAGGGGAGAGGAGAGAGAGGAGGGGCGGACGAAGGGAGACAGGGTGAGGGGAGAGGAGGGGAGGGAGAGGAGGGGAGAGGAGGCGGGGGTGAAGGGAGACAGACGAGGGGAGACAAGAGAGAGGAGGGGCGGACGAAGGGAGACAGGGTGAGGGGAAAGGAGGGGAAGGGAGGGAGAAGGAAGACAGGATGAAGGAACAGATGGGTTAAGGGAAAAGAGGGAGAAGATAGGGGTTAGGGAGATGGAGTGAGGGTAGAAGAAGGAGGGTGGGGGGGGGAGGGGAATTGTGGCGTCTCAGAAGTAGTCCTCGAGGGGAAATGAGGGACTTGTATCTCGCAAGGGAAAGAGATTGAGCCACGTCCGCTCGGGGAAGGAAGGCTAGTTTTCCCCTCAGTGAAGTATAAGGGGAAAGAGGAGGAGGGACGGGGAGGGAGGGAAGGAGGGAAGAGGAGGAGGGGCGGGGAGGGAGGGAGGGAGGAAGGGAACGAGAGAGGAGGGGAGGGAGGGAGGGAGGAGTGGAGGGAGGGAGGGAGGAAGGGAACGAGAGAGGGGGGGAGGGAGGGAGGGAGGGAAGAGGAGGAGGGGCGGGGAGGGAGGGAGGGAGGAAGGGAACGAGAGAGGAGGGGAGGGAGGGAGGGAGGAGTGGAGGGAGGGAGGGAGGAAGGGAACGAGAGAGGGGGGGAGGGAGGGAGGGAGGGAAGAGGAGGAGGGGCGGGGAGGAAGGGAGGGAGGGAGGAGTGGAGGGAGGGAGGGAGGGAGGGGGGAGGGAGGGAGGAGGGGATGAGAGAGGAGGGGAGGGAGGGAGACAGAAGGGGAGAGGAAAGAGGGATGGAGAGAAGGGGGGAGGGATAGAAGGCGGAGGAGGGGAATGGGGAGGGGAGGAGGGAGAGTTAAGTGGGATGGAGAGAGGAAGGGGAATGAGGGAGGGAGAGAAGAGGGGAGGGTTAAGAGATAGGAAGGGGGAGGAAGGGAGGAGGAATGAAGAGAGGAAGGGAGGGAGGAAAGAATGAAGGAAGGAGGAAGGGAAAGAGAGAGGGAAGGGATGAAAGGAGGGAGAGAGGAGGGGAGGGGGTGGTGTGAACAAGGGAGGGAGAGAGGAGGGGAAGGAGGGAGGGAGGGAAGGGGAGGGCAGGAAGGGAGAGAAAGAGGAAAAGAGGGAGGGAGAAAAGGAGAGAAGGAGGAATAGAGAGAAGAGAGGAGAGAACAGTAGCTTGATTAAAGGTTAAGGACAGAGGCAAGGAGAG